CAGGGCTAATTACTAAAGAAAGGATTCACACTCTGGTCTGATTCTGTCCAGGCAGCTAAGCTCTCCTTACCCCAGTGTCTGGGCTCTCCAGTCCCTTGCCCTCTCTCCCTCTCTGTGCCCTGTGTCTGCTTACTCCGCGGTCTCTGTTTCTCAGACACAAAGCTCCTCCCAGCAGCCCTGCCTGCCCCTCAGCTGCAGGTTTTTATTTTCCTTGCTGGTTCTGGGCCTTGAACTCAGGGCCTGGGCGCTGTCCCTGAGCTGCTTTTGCTCGAGGCTAGTGCCTCAGTGCTACGTCTGGCTTTTTCCGCTTATGTGGTACTGAGGAATCAAACCCAGGGCATGCTAGGCAAGAACTCTACCACCAAGCCACATCCCCAGCCCTGCAGGTTCTTTTCTGCCCATCAATTCCCATCATAAACACCATGTTCTCCTGAGAGAGCCTGGCCCTTCCTCTCACACAAATGGCAGTGGAAAATCACTTCAATAATTTTGTGATACTCTTTACTTCTTGACTTATTTCCATTACCCATGCCCCTGCTAGAATGTAGAGTTAATGACAGCCAGGGCCTCATGTTCCTTGTTTCTGATCTTGCCTGGAGAAGTGGAAACACTTTAGAAATGTTGGCTGACCGGCTGATGGATGGATGGATGAATAGATGGATGGATAGATGGGTGGTGGATGGATGGATGGACAGGTGGGTGGATGGATAGGTGGATGGATGTATATATGTATGTATGTATGTATGGACAGGTGGATGGATGGGAGTATGAACAGTTAGGTAGTTGAATGGATGGATGATGGATGGACAGGTGTATATATGTATGTGTGTATGTATGTATGTGAGTGTGTATGTATGTGAGTGGATGAATGGACAGGTAGATGGATGGACAGGTGGGTAGATGGACAGGCAGGTGGATGGATGGGTGGATGGATGGACAGGTGGGTGGATGGATAGGTGGATGGAGGGTGGATGGATGGACAGGTGGATGGAGGGTGGATGGATGGACAGGTGGGTAGATGGACAGGCAGGTGGATGGAGGGTGGATGGATGGACAGGTGGGTGGATGGATAGGTGGATGGAGGGTGGATGGATGGACAGGTGGGTAGGTGGATGGATGGATGGATGGATGGATAGAGGGAGGGATGACGGATGGTTGGATGGACAGGTGGGGTGGGTGGAAGGGTGACTGGCAGAGCACTGTTGTCTCTCAGGATCTGGAGGGCTGTCAACACTCCATTAGAGTTGGTGTGTCCTGCGCTGCAGGCTGCCTGGCCTCTGTCATCACACTGCCTAATGGTAGAGTTGCTCTTTTCCTCCTGTCTCCACAGTGTTTGGAAAGAAGTCTCAGCGTGTCCCACACCATCCCACACCAGAGAGGGGACTTACGCCTGACCCCTTGAGGGCCGGGCCAAGGTGTCATTTTTACTAGGGTTTGAAGGACACTCAGTCTTGGGTCTTCTAGCAAGGCTAACTGTTGGTTTTAGGTGTTCTGCTGTGGCTTTGCAGTTCTCTCTTCTCCATGGAGTCTGTGTTTCTGTTCGTGGCTTTGTCGGGGCATCATCACCCAGAATTCCACCCCTGCTTCCCCGAGGACACACGGATCCTGGCGGGACCCAGCGTCCCTGGTGCCAGGGCCGTGCGGAGCAGCACTGGTGGGCTCTGCGCCCAGGCAGCCCGGCATGGGCAAGAGCGGCTTTCAGGAGAGCCTGCGCTGTGTTCCCAGAAAGGCCGCCACACCTCAGCTATGCTCTCCTACATCAGCTCCTCGGCTGCGTCTGCAGAAGGCAGACACGGATGTGGCAGCTGTCCGTGGGTCTTCTGGTTGTACATCTCCCCTTCTGTCTCTGGTTGTCGGTGAGACTCTGGCCAAGCATCTGTCCTCCATGCCTTCGCTTCTGCAGAGCAGCGGCCTTCCCCTCCCCGCCCGGCCTGGCCCACACCCACCGCCCCCTCTGGCTCTCACCGAGTTCCAGCAACAGACCCGTCTTGAGTTCAGGCTGCCAAAGTGAACAATAAGGCAGCTGGGGAGGGAGGTTTGATCGGAATCTGGACAAGCCCTCCTGCTCCCGCTCACTCTCGACCGACCTTCTGAGGCACCTGAGCTAAAGCAGCCGAGCTGGAGAAACGGCAAGGGAGGCTGCCTGGAGTCCGGTCCCACGGCCAGCTGGCTGGCTCACGCGGTGGGGCGAGGCACCGGGCTGTACAGTAGCTCCCTGTGGAACACGGGTCCTCTGGAGCCTGTGTGGCGGAGGCCTGGTCTTCCAGGGGGATCCCAGGGAGGATGAAGGCCCTGGCCTCCCGGCCTCCAGTAGGAGGGAGGACCTTCCTGCAAGTCTTCCTGGACAGTAAACACAGGCTCTGGTGATAATCCTTGCTCAGGCAGGGCCCCCGCTGCCCTGCTGACCACTCAGGCCAGTGCGTCCCGGGGCCACACACAACCGCCGTTGCCCCCTCCCCTGGTCAGTGTCTGCTGCCCCAATCAGATAAACTGCTTCCAGACACCGGCCTCCGAGCACCGGCCTCCCAACTCCTCAGCCTCCTTCCTGTTCCTACATTTGTTGCTCCCATCTTTCTCCACAGCCCCCTCTGCATGCACGCACACACGCACCTGTAGGGTCCCTTCTGTCTGTGACTAGTTCCTGTCTCCCAGCTCCGAGCTGTCATGGAAGATGTGTGGAGACTGCTGATCCTTCCAAACCTTGAGCTACAGCATTGCGTTGTGACTCCCAGCCTCCACCAACTGCAGGTGGAAAATACTCGAGAAAAATCTCATCTCCAGACTTTGTCAGGAGTCCCTGAGCAACAGACTGGAGCAACTGCTTAACTAGTACTTAAACAGTGTGGTAGCTACTGAGTGGGCTGTGAGCAAATACCGCAGCCCCCCCCCCCCCCCCCCCCGTGAACCAGGGAACCTGCGGATGGTTCTGGAATCCATTCTCTGTGCATGCTCAACGGTGATCACAAGCCTACAAGGGCCTTCCCTAGCCTTTCCTGGTGGAGGGAGGGCGAGGGATGGGATGGGAGAGGGCCTGATCCCACCACATACTCCTCTTCCCGCGCGCTGCTCACTGCCCAGGGCCTTCACATCAGGGAAGCTGGCATCTGGGCTCCAAGGTTGTGGCTGCCCCATTTTACAGGCAGGGAAACTGAGTTTGGCTCTGTTTTCCCGAGCCTCCCCTAGGGGCTAAGAGACCCTGCCTGGAAGTTTCCAGAATGCAGCAGCCAGGGACAGATGTGAAACTCGTGAGCGTTGGGAAATCACCCAGGGGAGGGGAGGGGCAATGGCGCTTGGTCTGAAGCACTGGACAGAGGACCGTCCCGGAGTCACGCGCCCCCTGCCCCTGCCCGCCCTCCGCTGCCCCTTCTGAGGAAGGGGCTACCTCCGGGGAGGGGCCCGGGCGCCCACCCCACACCTGGCCATAGACGTTTCCAAGCTCGTTCAGAACAACCTCCCAGGAACGAACGGGAACCGCCTGGGCTCAGGGAGTGGGGCTCCCCGAGAGTCCTGATCCCGCAGGGCATGCCCCCAACCCCGGGGGTCAGCGCAGAGAATGGGCTCCAGACTCAACCTCCCTTCCCTGCGGGGGCCTAGGAAGCCGGCGGGGTTGCTACTGCTCTGGCCGGGCTCCGCACTTACTGGATGCTTCTTCCAAAGGAGCCAAAATGTTCAACACCATCTTCATTCCAACTTCTTTCTGCCTTTCTGTCACGTGTTACCCAGGGCTGGTGTGAGCAATATTAAGTATACACGTATGCGCGTGTGTGTGTGCGTGCGCGTGCGTGCATGGGTGCATGCACAACACTGGATGGAGCAGTTAGCGTGACTAGAGGCTGCCATGATCGCACGCATCCCTTTTGAGACAGGGCTTGCGCACTGCCCGCTCGGTGTGTGGAAGTGTCTGACATGGATGAAAATGAGCGGCTCCTGCCTCCTCTTATCTCGGGCTCAGTAGACGGTGGAACGAGGGGTAGTTGGGATTAGATGGGGGGTGGGGGCATAGCAGAGGGAGCCTAACTGGGAATGGGGGTGGGGCATAGCAGAGGGAGCCTAGCCGGGAATGGGGGTGGGCATAGCAGAGGGAGCCTAGCCGGGAATGGGGGTGGGGCATAGCAGAGGGAGCCTAACCGGGAATGGAGCAAGTCGGCCGCCGTCGGTGCGCTGGTGCCCTCTCCCTTCAGCATGACTGATGAGGGGCATCCGGGTCTCAGGTAGCCTCTGGCCTGGCTTTACAGGTTTACAGGAGCGAGAGTCGTGGGATATGCTGCATTTCAGCCCTTGCCTAAGACGGTACAGCGCAGAACTGTCCGTCTGAGGAGTCGGTGAGGCCCGCTGTCGGATCCAGGGCGCCCGACGCCCTCGGAGTCAGTGAGGCCCGCTGTCGGATCCGGGGCGCCCGACGCCCTCGGAGTCAGTGAGGCCCGCTGTCGGATCCGGGGCGCCCGACGCCCTCGGAGTCAGTGAGGCCCGCTGTCCGATCCGGGGCGCCTGAGGCCCTCGGAGTCAGTGAGGCCCGCTGTCTGATCCGGCCTGCTCAACGCCCTCAGAGTCAGTGAGGCCCGCTGTCCGATCCAGGGCGCCCGACGCCCTCCCTCCCAGGGGACCCTCTCCCCCAGGGGTCAAGGGCGCACGTGGGCCTCCTCGGATGGGAGCCGCAGTTGGGGAGGGGGAGGAGGCCGGATGGCAGGGGACAATCAGGCTCCCTTCTCTTGTTGTTCACTAAGGGGGGAGTGTCTGTATTTCAGGTCCATCGTCAAAATGAATGGTTAGCTACAAAGCCCCAGCGCACGGGACGAGTGGAGACCGGGCACTGGGAATCTTCGTGGAAACGTCCTTGAGCTGACCTTGTGAAGAACTGGCTGCGGCTCTGGGACCGTGGGGGGGCTGCCAACCCCATCTTTTGGCGTATTTCAAGCCCCCAGAACTGCGCTTCCTCCTGGGCTTATTTAGAAGCCAGCAGAGGAAGTGGTAAAGGAAACTGGCTGCGTCGTTTTCTGAGAAGAGACCATATTTGTGCCTGGAGGAAGCTGCTGCCTCCCGGGCTCTGGCTACCGCAGAGAAGAGGGCGCTCCCGGGGCGCGGGGGCAGGGCACAGGCTCAGGAGCGCGGGGGGGCCTCTGCCAGCCACCGAGCCTCCCAGGACGGCCACCGAGCCTCCCAGGACGGCCGCCATGGCCCTGAGGAACGTGCCCTTCCGCTCCGAGGTCCTGGCCTGGGACCCCGACAGCCTGGCCGACTATTTCAGGAAGGTGAGTCCTGCTCTTCCGTGAGTGCTGGGCAGGGGTGCAGACCGGCGTGGGTGCGAGGGTGGGATCCGGACAGGGCATGGGAGGTGCGCCGGGCTCTAATCCTAAATGAAAACGCTCCGCCGTCCTGAGAGTTCAGTGCTGTCCTGCAATGCCGGCCCAGCGAGGTGATTCGAAGCCAGTCTGGCTCCAGGGTGTGTGTTCTGAGATGCGGAGGAGGTTGGAAGCACCGATGGCAGCCCATGCTGGCAGACTGGACGGGAAGATGGAGTCTGGGGATGGCAGACAGGGGGCACGGGGGCAGGGCTGGGTGGGCATGGGCTCCTGTGGCGTTGGGCTGGGTGGACATGGGCTCCTGTGGCGTTGGGCTGGGTGGACATGGGCTCCTGTGGCGTTGGGCTGGGTGGACATGGGCTCCTGTGGCGTTGGGCTGGGTGGACATGGGCTCCTGTGGCGTTGGGCTGGGTGGACATGGGCTCCTGTGGCATTGGGGTGGGGTGGGCATCGGCTCGAATGGCATTTAGGCACTCTGAAAGGGGTCCACAGACCCTTCCTTACCAGTGTTTCACTGGGACCTTGGGGGGAGGGGCCTGGGAAGCAGCCCCGAGAGCTGGGCCTCAGGGGGTTGGGGATGGAGGCTGAGCTCAGGCATCAGGCCACACTGAGCTGGGCCCAGAGCGCCGTGGTCCCCCCTCTGGACAGGACATAAAAGGACTGAGGGTGGGATCGGGGAGGCTGAGGGAAGGCCTGGACACCCCATCAGGGGCCCCGCACCCCTGAGCACAGCTCCTGGCGCCCAGACGAGTTACGCAGACGAAGACCTCCCGCCGGGCTCTGGAGTGAGACAGGCCTGGCTGAGTGGCGCCTCTCCTGTGCAGCTTGGCGACCTTCCCTCCCGTAGAGCCCTGACTTCTCTGCCCCTCGGCTTCCTCCTCAGCAGATGAGCGCCAGGACCCCCAGCGGGGTGGCTGTGACGGGAAGTCAGGTGTGAGGCTTCAGGCTCGGGGAAGCGGCCCGGGCGGGCGGGCGGGAGCGCCGGGCGCACCAGCGAGGCTGGGCGTCTGCGTGCCTCGCCCGCGTCCGGACTACAGGCCGTGTGCCGCGTCTTCACACCTCCAGCACCTGCAGCGTCCGAGCATCTGCACCGGGCAGCAGAGTCCCTGGCTCCCACTCACCTGTTCAAAGCCACACTACATTCCCCACTCACCGTGTCTCCTCAGGGCAGGGCCTACCCTCTCTGAGCCCCAGACGCCCCATCCAAAGCCAGGCCACGGCTCTAGGCCAGGCGTGTCTCCCCCGGGTCTCCGGGAGGGTCGTCTAGGGTGTTGGTTGACAGAGCAGCTTCCAGCCAGGTGTGGCAGTCAGTCACTCAAGAGACACAGGTAGGATCACAGTCCAGTGCCTGTCAGGGCAAGAGCAAGATCCGATCTGAAATATAACGGAAGCAAAGAGGACCGGGGGTGTGCCTCATTGGTAGAGTGTGCCTCGCACGCTTGAAGCCCTGCGTTCAGACCCCAGTGCTGCGGATTCAAGACCCAGAGGCCCAGATCTCACTGGACCCCAGCTGAGCACCTAGATCCCACCCACGACGCAGTCTGAGGGTTCTATCGGAGCCAGGACTCCAAACCACTGGGATCGCCGGCTGATGAGGACAGTGGGCAGGAACTAAAGGCGCTTGATGCTACAGAGCTGTGCCCACACCTCAGATGCCCCCCAGCTCTCCCCCTGGCATCCGACTTCCCAAGCGCACGAGGCCACAGCAGTCCTGCTTACACTTCTGCATGTTTGGTGAGAAGAGTTTGATTTACCTGCCCCGAGAAAGCTGGCTCAAACTCTGAGGACCACATCTGTGGGAGGAGCCCGGAATTTCCAAGGAACAAATCTTTAACCTTTGGCACCCGAACTTAGTGATATTTCAAATAGGAACGATTGAGGACAAAGTGGATTCAAGACCAAATGAATCATTCCTGATGATTCCTGATTGGTTTTGGAAAACAGCGAAGACCTTGCCCAGGGTCCCTTCCTTTGATCAGTAAGTAATGCTGTTGTTCCCAAAGGAACAGTCCGGACAGAGTCGCTCAAGTCCTACTCCGCTGCTCCGCGGCCACAGCCTCCAGCAGCACACGGGAAGACGGGAGCGGCCCTAGCTGCCGGGGCTATGCGCTTCTTTATTTACATTTGGCAGCGCTGGGGTTTGAACCCAGGGCCTCACACTTCTGAGGCTGGCGTCATTCTGCTGAGCCACGCCTCCAGCCACCCAATTAGCCGTTTCTATGTGGCTGTTGGAACAGCAGTTTTCCGACTAACCTTAACGTCTGATACGATACAGAGGGATTAAATAAGAAGACGTTGAACGTGAGTGAAGTGTTGAGGTTATTATTTTAGGGGAGATTGGAGCAAAAAGTCAGGGTGTCAGACAGATGATGACTGACGGCTTCTGAGCCTTAGGAGCGTCTCCGTGGTCCTTTCTGGAGGAGCAGGCCCCGAGGGCGTCTCTCTGGAGCGTTGGAATGAGCCGCTTGCCCATGCTGGGCATCCTGTTGGCTGGGCAGGGCCGGCTAGCCCCCATGGCTGCGTGTGAGACAGGCAGACCGTGGCGGGAGCCGGCCTCGCTGACAGCACCCTCCTCCTCTCCACAGCTCAACTACAAGGACTGCGAGAAGGCGGTGAAGAAGTACCACATCGACGGTGCGCGGTTTTTGGTGAGTTCCAGACGCCGGCCACATGGACACCAGGGTGCCTGGCTGTTTTCCCAGGGGCTGCCGGCCCAGGCGGCCTCCCTCATTGCTGGGGTTCCCCTGGGAGGCGCTTGTTTTCAGCATCCCTGCGTGGCCCTGGGTTCGACGGGTCCGCCAGAGCCCTCGGCCTGACATCCTCTGATGACGGAGCCTCCTCAGACCCTCCCCAGGTACCACGCACACCCTAAGGTCCCAGTGTACAGAGGAACGTGATTACAGTTGCATGTGCAACACACACACACGCACACACAGCCAGATGCCATGACTCACGCCTGTAATCTTAGCTACTCCTAAGACTGAGATCTGGAGGCTGGTTCCGGGTCAGCCAGGTTGCCCAAGAAAGAGAGAGAGAGAGAGAGACAGACAGACAGACGGACAGACGGATGGAGGGAGGGGGGGAGAGGCGGGAGGGGAGAGCAGGGGGGGAGTAGGAAAGTTTGGAAGCTTGGCCATGGTTCCTTCTCTCAGGACTCTGCCTGACTCCCCGCCCCGTCCTCAGTGGTCTGAAGAGGGCAGGGTTAGCAACGGCTGTTAAGAGCCGGGTCAGATGAATCCAGTGGGCACCTCAAGGTAGCCAGCCGGTCCCCGCTGAACGGCCCCGACCCTGCGGCTTCTCCCTGGAAGGCCTGGGTGCCCTGGATCTCGGAGTCCAGTAGGAGAAGGCCGCACACACGGTCAGATTCAGTTCACGAGAGGATTCTGCATGGTGGCAGGAACCTGGTCCTCACATAGCTGTCCACCCTTCGAAAGGAGATCTTTGTCAACATCCAGAACACAGAACCTGGAGCCCAAACCCTGGCACCTTCAGTGCTCAGTCACCACTACCTTCTCCTGCCCAGCCCCTCTCCTGTCCCCAGCCCCTCTCCTGCCCAGCCCCCCTGCCCCAGCCCCTCTCCTGCCCAGCCCCCCTGCCCCAGCCCCTCTCCTGTCCAGCCCCTCTCCTGCCCAGCCCCTCTCCTGTCCAGCCCCTCTCCTGCCCAGCCCCCCAGCCCCAGCCCCTCTCCTGCCCAGCCCCTCTCCTGCCCAGCCCCTCTCCTGTCCAGCCCCTCTCCTGCCCAGCCCCTCTCCTGCCCAGCCCCTCTCCTGCCCAGCCCCTCTCCTGTCCAGCCCCTCTCCTGCCCAGCCCCTCTCCTGTCCCCAGCCCCTCTCCTGCCCAGCCCCTCTCCTGTCCCCAGCCCCCCAGCCCCAGCCCCTCTCCTGCCCAGCCCCTCTCCTGCCCAGCCCCTCTCCTGTGTAGCCCCTCTCCTGCCCAGCCCCTCTCCTGCCCAGCCCCTCTCCTGTCCAGCCCCTCTCCTGCCCAGCCCCTCTCCTGCCCAGCCCCGCTCCTGCCCAGCCCCTCTCCTGCCCAGCCCCTCTCCTGCCCAGCCCCTCTCCTGCCCAGCCCCTCTCCTGTCCAGCCCCTCTCCTGCCCAGCCCCCCAGCCCCAGCCCCTCTCCTGCCCAGCCCCTCTCCTGCCCAGCCCCTCTCCTGTCCAGCCCCTCTCCTGCCCAGCCCCTCTCCTGCCCAGCCCCTCTCCTGCCCAGCCCCTCTCCTGCCCAGCCCCTCTCCTGTCCAGCCCCTCTCCTGCCCAGCCCCCCAGCCCCAGCCCCTCTCCTGCCCAGCCCCTCTCCTGCCCAGCCCCTCTCCTGTCCAGCCCCTCTCCTGCCCAGCCCCTCTCCTGCCCAGCCCCTCTCCTGCCCAGCCCCTCTCCTGCCCAGCCCCTCTCCTGTCCAGCCCCTCTCCTGCCCAGCCCCCCTGCCCCAGCCCCTCTCCTGCCCAGCCCCTCTCCTGCCCAGCCCCTCTCCTGCCCCAGCCCCTCACCTGCCCCAGCCCCCCTCCTGTCCCCAGCCCCTCTCCTGTCCCCAGCCCCTCTCCTGCCCAGACCCCCTCCTGCCCAGCCCCTCTCCTGCCCCAGCCCCTCTCCTGCCCCAGCCCCTCTCCTGCCCAGCCCCTCTCCTGCCCAGCCCCTCTCCTGTCCCCAGCCCCTCTCCTGTCCAGCCCCTCTCCTGCCCAGCCCCCCAGCCCCAGCCCCTCTCCTGCCCAGCCCCTCTCCTGCCCAGCCCCTCTCCTGTCCAGCCCCTCTCCTGCCCAGCCCCTCTCCTGCCCAGCCCCTCTCCTGTCCAGCCCCTCTCCTGCCCAGCCCCTCTCCTGCCCAGCCCCGCTCCTGCCCAGCCCCTCTCCTGCCCAGCCCCTCTCCTGCCCAGCCCCTCTCCTGCCCAGCCCCTCTCCTGTCCAGCCCCTCTCCTGCCCAGCCCCCCAGCCCCAGCCCCTCTCCTGCCCAGCCCCTCTCCTGCCCAGCCCCTCTCCTGTCCAGCCCCTCTCCTGCCCAGCCCCTCTCCTGCCCAGCCCCTCTCCTGCCCAGCCCCTCTCCTGCCCAGCCCCTCTCCTGTCCAGCCCCTCTCCTGCCCAGCCCCCCAGCCCCAGCCCCTCTCCTGCCCAGCCCCTCTCCTGCCCAGCCCCTCTCCTGTCCAGCCCCTCTCCTGCCCAGCCCCTCTCCTGCCCAGCCCCTCTCCTGCCCAGCCCCTCTCCTGCCCAGCCCCTCTCCTGTCCAGCCCCTCTCCTGCCCAGCCCCCCTGCCCCAGCCCCTCTCCTGCCCAGCCCCTCTCCTGCCCAGCCCCTCTCCTGCCCCAGCCCCTCTCCTGCCCCAGCCCCCCTCCTGTCCCCAGCCCCTCTCCTGTCCCCAGCCCCTCTCCTGCCCAGCCCCCCTCCTGCCCAGCCCCTCTCCTGCCCCAGCCCCTCTCCTGCCCCAGCCCCTCTCCTGCCCAGCCCCTCTCCTGCCCAGCCCCTCTCCTGTCCCCAGCCCCTCTCCTGTCCAGCCCCTCTCCTGCCCAGCCCCCCAGCCCCAGCCCCTCTCCTGCCCAGCCCCTCTCCTGCCCAGCCCCTCTCCTGTCCAGCCCCTCTCCTGCCCAGCCCCTCTCCTGCCCAGCCCCTCTCCTGCCCAGCCCCTCTCCTGTCCAGCCCCTCTCCTGCCCAGCCCCTCTCCTGTCCCCAGCCCCTCTCCTGCCCAGCCCCTCTCCTGTCCCCAGACCCCCAGCCCCAGCCCCTCTCCTGCCCAGCCCCTCTCCTGCCCAGCCCCTCTCCTGTGTAGCCCCTCTCCTGCCCAGCCCCTCTCCTGCCCAGCCCCTCTCCTGTCCAGCCCCTCTCCTGCCCAGCCCCTCTCCTGCCCAGCCCCGCTCCTGCCCAGCCCCTCTCCTGCCCAGCCCCTCTCCTGCCCAGCCCCTCTCCTGCCCAGCCCCTCTCCTGTCCAGCCCCTCTCCTGCCCAGCCCCCCAGCCCCAGCCCCTCTCCTGCCCAGCCCCTCTCCTGCCCAGCCCCTCTCCTGTCCAGCCCCTCTCCTGCCCAGCCCCTCTCCTGCCCAGCCCCTCTCCTGTCCAGCCCCTCTCCAGCCAAGCCCCCCAGCCCCAGCCCCTCTCCTGCCCAGCCCCTCTCCTGCCCAGCCCCTCTCCTGTCCAGCCCCTCTCCTGCCCAGCCCCTCTCCTGCCCAGCCCCTCTCCTGCCCAGCCCCTCTCCTGCCCAGCCCCTCTCCTGTCCAGCCCCTCTCCTGCCCAGCCCCCCTGCCCCAGCCCCTCTCCTGCCCAGCCCCTCTCCTGCCCAGCCCCTCTCCTGCCCCAGCCCCTCTCCTGCCCCAGCCCCCCTCCTGTCCCCAGCCCCTCTCCTGTCCCCAGCCCCTCTCCTGCCCAGCCCCCCTCCTGCCCAGCCCCTCTCCTGCCCCAGCCCCTCTCCTGCCCCAGCCCCTCTCCTGCCCCAGCCCCTCTCCTGCCCCAGCCCCCCTGCCCAGCCCCTCTCCTGCCCCAGCCCCTCTCCTGCCCCAGCCCCCCTGCCCAGCCCCCCTCCTGCCCAGCCCCCCTCCTGCCCAGCCCCTCTCCTGCCCAGCCCCTCTCCTGCCCAGCCCCTCCTGCCCCAGCCCCCCTGCCCCAGCCCCTCTCCTGCCCAGCCCCTCTCCTGCCCCAGCCCCCCTGCCCCAGCCCCCCTCCTGTCCCCAGCCCCTCTCCTGCCCAGCCCCTCTCCTGCCCAGCCCCTCTCCTGCCCAGCCCCTCTCCTGCCCAGCCCCTCCTGCCCCAGCCCCCCTGCCCCAGCCCCTCTCCTGTCCCCAGCCCCTCTCCTGCCCAGCCCCTCTCCTGCCCAGCCCCCCTCCTGCCCCAGCCCCTCTCCTGCCCCAGCCCCTCTCCTGCCCCAGCCCCCCTGCCCCAGCCCCTCTCCTGCCCCAGCCCCTCTCCTGCCCCAGCCCCCCTGCCCCAGCCCCTCTCCTGCCCCAGCCCCCCTGCCCAGCCCCCCTCCTGCCCAGCCCCTCTCCTGCCCAGCCCCTCTCCTGCCCAGCCCCTCTCCCCCAGCCCCTCTCCTGCCCCAGCCCCTCTCCTGCCCAGCCCCTCTCCTGTCCCCAGCCCCTCTCCTGCCCAGCCCCCCTCCTGCCCAGCCTCTCTCCTGCCCAGCCCCTCTCCTGTCCCCAGCCCCTCTCCTGTCCAGCCCCTCTCCTGCCCAGCCCCTCTCCTGCCCAGCCGCCCTCCTGCCCCAGCCCCCCTCCTGCCCCAGCCCCCCTCCTGCCCAGCCCCTCTCCTGCCCAGCCCCTCTCCTGCCCAGCCTCCCTCCTGCCCCAGCCCCTCTCCTGCCCCAGCCCCTCTCCTGCCCAGCCCCTCTCCTGTCCCCAGCCCCTCTCCTGTCCCCAGCCCCTCTCCTGCCCAGCTCCTCTCCTGTCCCCAGCCCCTCTCCTGCCCAGCCCCTCTCCTGCCCAGCCCCTCTCCTGCCCCAGCCCCCCTCCTGCCCCAGCCCCTCTCCTGTCCAGCCCCTCTCCTGCACAGCCCCTCTCCTGTCCAGCCCCCCTGCCCAGCCCCCCTCCTGCCCCAGCCCCTCTCCTGCCCAGCCCCTCTCCTGCCCAGCCCCTCTCCTGCCCAGCCCCTCTCCTGTCCCAGCCCCTCTCCTGCCCCAGCCCCTCTCCTGCCCCAGCCCCTCTCCTGCCCAGCCCCTCTCCTGCCCAGCCCCCCTCCTGCCCCAGCCCCTCTCCTGCCCAGCCCCTCTCCTGCCCAGCCCCTCTCCTGCCCAGCCCCTCTCCTGTCCCAGCCCCTCTCCTGGCCCAGCCCCTCTCCTGCCCAGCCCCCCTCCTGCCCCAGCCCCTCTCCTGCCCAGCCCCTCTCCTGCCCAGCCCCCCTGCCCAGCCCCTCTCCTGTCCCCAGCCCCTCTCCTGCCCAGCCCCTCTCCTGCCCAGCCCCCCTCCTGCCCAGCCCCTCTCCTGCCCAGCCCCTCTCCTGCCCAGCCCCTCTCCTGCCCCAGCCCCCCTCCTGCCCCAGCCCCTCTCCTGCCCCAGCCCCCCTCCTGCCCCAGCCCCTCTCCTGCCCAGCCCCTCTCCTGTCCAGCCCCTCTCCTGCCCAGCCCCTCTCCTGCCCAGCCCCTCTCCTGCCCCAGCCCCTCTCCTGTCCCCAGCCCCCCTGCCCAGCCCCTCTCCTGTCCCCAGCCCCCCTCCTGCCCCAGCCCCTCTCCTGCCCCAGCCCCTCTCCTGCCCCAGCCCCCCTCCTGCCCCAGCCCCCCTCCTGCCCAGCCCCTCTCCTGCCCAGCCCCTCTCCTGCCCAGCCCCTCTCCTGCCCAGCCCCTCTCCTGCCCAGCCTCTCTCCTGCCCAGCCCCTCTCCTGCCCAGCCTCTCTCCTGCCCAGCCCCTCTCCTGCCCAGCCCCTCTCCTGCCCAGCCCCTCTCCTGCCCCAGCCCCTCTCCTGCCCCAGCCCCTCTCCTGTCCAGCCCCTCTCCTGCCCAGCCTCTCTCCTGCCCAGCCTCTCTCCTGCCCAGCCTCTCTCCTGCCCAGCCTCTCTCCTGCCCAGCCCCTCTCCTGCCCAGCCCCTCTCCTGCCCAGCCTCTCTCCTGCCCTGGCTAGATGCTCTCCTGCCCCAGCCCCTCTCCTGCCCTGGCTAGATGCCCTCCTGTAAGTTGTAACCTGTCTGCCACCTGTTGTGTTTTCATTTTAGAGCCTGACAGAAAATGACATTCAGAAGTTCCCCAAGCTCAGGATGCCGTAAGTCCTCCCTCTGACCCCATGGGAAGGGGGGAAGTCCGGCAGTAAACCGAGTCAGTGGTACATTACGGTCCACATGACACAGGAAAGTAGGAGGAAGGTTAAGGACACAGTCAGGGTATGGGGGGAGGAAAGGGAAGTAAGATTCCTGCAGACATCCGGGTGCCGCTGTGGAAGGTGCCCTGGGGGGCCCCCCTTCCCCCCCCCCGTCGAAGGCTCGGTGAGGCCCGGTCCAGGGCTTTATCCTCCACTGGGTCGGGGTCTTCCTCCCCCTAAGGACATCTTCAGGCTCAGTGAGCCTGCCCAGGAGTAACAGGAGCCTGGAATACCAAATAACCAGCAAAGTACAGTGCGCCCAGCTCCCAGGAGCCAAGCAAATGACCCAGGACACGTTGACAGATCACCCCCAAGCGGGCTCGCTAGCTCTGACACACAGCTGGCTTCCATTGCATGAAAGGAAAACCCTGTGTCTTTAGATGCGAAGAGGTGATAGGAAAGCCAAGTGTGAAAAATGGCGGAGTCGGAGGTCAGACTTCCTGTCACTCAGTTCTTCACTTGTGAGCTAGAGAGCAATACCAAGTAGCACTAAGCAGCACTTTATATAAGAGGACGTGGGGAGTACTGTGCGCCCAGTACTGTGCGCTGCCTGTCCTGGCCCCTCTCGGGGGTTTGCTGAGAGTCTCGGCTGCCACCAGCACTGCCCAGCCGCCCCCAGCAGCGGTCCTGAGACCGAGGCACGCAGGGCCCGGCCCTGCGGGGGCCGCCAGCCTCCCTTCTCAGCCTGTGGTTTGGCATTTCCTTCCTCACCCAGTTTGAGCCCCAGTGGCTTGCAGCTGGCTGGTAGATACTGGTGCTCACTCCCGGCCCTGGCAGCGCCCGTGTGGGACCCAAAGAGGTGTCTGGACCCTCAGAGCCCAGCCCTGGGTCCCACATGGGGGTGAGGCCAGCACCCCTTGGGGTGGGGTGGAGGGAAACAGGTACCAGCGGGGAGCAGATAAGCAAACGGGGGTGAGCAGGGAGCAGACAAGAGCACACAGGAAACAGAGATGACAGCCCAGTCCTCCGGGTTCAGAGGAGAGTCTGGAAGTCCAGTGTCCAGCAGTGGTGCTCAGCCCCAGGAATGACCAGGCAGAGGGCCGCACAGCCTGGCGTCTGGGTCCTTGGGCCTCCGGAGGTGGGAGAGCCACGTGGGCAGGGCCATCGCTGAGGGGCTCTGTGCGGGCCTGTGCCCGGGCGGGCGGCAGAGGCTGGGGGCAGTGGGGGGTAGCTGACCCAGGAGCGCCCGCTGGGGCTCACACGGTCAGGGACCCCTCGGCCTGGCAGGAAGGAGGAGGCGGCCAGGAGGTGGTTGAGCCTCTTCACCCGGCCTTGATCTTGTAGGATCCTCAGTAAGTTAAGTCAAGACATCAACAAGAATGAGGAGAGGAGGAGCCTTTTCACACGTAGGTGAGTGGGCCGTGGCCGCGGGCCCCGGGGCTCCCCCGTCCCAAGGGGCTTACCAAGGATTCGGGAAGCGGGTGGCCCAGGGTGGCCCACGGATGCCGGGAGAATGAACGTCCCCTAAAACCAACGGCAGGCAGCCACATGCTCCCATAAGCCACCAGTGTGGCTTCCAGTATTAGGGGGCCACTGTGCTCTGGTTGCCAGGCAACAAGGGCGCAAGCCATACCTTCTGCTGGGGAGTCCTCTGCCAGAGCGGGGCTGAGCAATGAGCGTGATCTTAAACCAACCGGCCATTGACACAGTACCACTAACTTAGCACCATTAACTTAGTATACTATTAACTTAGTACTATCAACATAGTACCATGAGCTCTGTACTAGTAACTCAGTACCATCAACCACCAATTCAGTTCCATTAACTCAGTACTATTAGCACAGTACCATCAACATAGTGCTACTAACTCAGTATTATCAACTCGGTACCATCAGCTCAGCACCACTGACAATACAATCCACTAGGTACCATTAACTCAGTACCACTTACACAATACTCTTTGCCTTGGCAGACCCCAGGTCCAGCGGTTTCCTGAAGAGAGAGGTAAGGTGTGGGGCTGAGAAGCGATTGCTTTAGAAGGCACTGGGTTCCTCAGGTCTTCTGTCTGCTTCCCGAGTCTCCCTGGGTGTCATGCGGATGACCCCACTCGCTTGCCTGCTCTCTCCAGTGAGAGCAGGAGAGACGCAGACCTGGGGAGGACTGGGGGGCTGTGGGGAACTTGGAGGACAGCCAGCCGTGACTGGGCTGGCCCGTGCCTCGGGGACCCCCGGGCGGCTTTCCACTGTTCAATGCTGCCTGGCCCTGGGGTGTGCCCGCCGCGCCCTGTCCAGTTCTGCTGAGGGAAAGCCGGAGGCACCGAGTCCAGTCCCCTGCGTGTCTTAAGCACCTGTAGGAGGGAAGATTAAGGAGGCCTCTGCCCTTGGTGGGATGGATCCTGGGTCAGGAGTTCTAGGTCGGCAGCGGCATACGGATGGTCAGTGGTCTGGGTTCCACTGCGGTGACAAAGCCCCGAGGCTGTGCAGTGGTTGAGGTCCTGAGACCCGGTGTGTGGTGCGGAGAGCTCTCATACCACACGTGGCCTGGTATGGCAGTGGCACCACATGGGAACAGGTGTGAGCGTGGCCAGGGGCCCCTCCAGGATGGCCTCACTTCCTACAACTTGCCTGCACACGCGCTGGTCCAGGCCCCGAGACCCACGTCCGTCCTGGAGACCTGGCCGAGTCTCCGCAGAAAGCCACGGATCCACCCCGGCCCCAGAAACAACTCTGTGCCATCCGCTCACGCTGTCCTGCCGGCGCTGGGTGGGCTGCTGTGGCTTCCTTGGAGGGACATCACCCGGCCCTTGAAGGTGGGTGCTGACACCTGTGTTTCCCCTCCCACAGAAAGCCAGGAGGAGGAGGATGGCGGCTGGTCGTCTTTCGTGAGTATGGCTGGGCTCCTCCCAGACGCACTCCCCTGGCTCTGTGCTCTCGGGCTGGCGCGGACCCAGGGCCTCGAACTCCCTAGCAAGCACACACACGTCATTCCCAGTGCTCCGGGTCCCCTGGCCAGCTTCCCCCGGTTTCCTCAGCACCGCCGTTGTTACAGAGAGGAGATCTTCATTACTATAGCAGCGGTGGCCATGAATAGCATCACCCTGGTGTGCCAGAGCCTCAGACCGTGTTGACTCAGGACTGAGCGCACCAGGGTGGAGGGGGACACGGGCACAGGGGCCACGTCCATGGGGGTTACACGGGGCCCCGTCCATGGGGTTACACAGACTCACGTCCATGGGGTTACACGGGGTCACGTCCATGGGGTTACACGGGCTCACGTCCATGGGGTTACACAGGCTCACGTCCATGGGGTTACACGGGGTCACGTCCATGGGGTTACACAGGCTCACGTCCATGGGGTTACACGGGCTCACGTCCATGGGGTTACACGGGCTCACGTCCATGGGGTTACACGGGCTCACGTCCATGGGGTTACACGGGCTCACGTCCATGGGGTTACACGGGCTCACGTCCATGGGGTTACACGGGGCTCACGTGCATGGGGTTACACAGGCTCACGTCCATGGGGTTACACGGGGCCACGTCCATGGGGTTACACAGGCTCACGTCCATGGGGTTACACGGGCTCACGTCCATGGGGTTACACAGGCTCACGTCCATGGGGTTACATGGGCTCACGTCCATGGGGTTACACAGGCTCACGTCCATGGGGTTACACAGGCTCACGTCCATGGGGTTACACGGGGCCACGTCCATGGGGTTACACAGGCTCACGTCCATGGGGTTACACGGGCTCACGTCCATGGGGTTACACGGGCTCACGTCCATGGGGTTACACGGGCTCACGTCCATGGGGTTACACGGGCTCACGTCCATGGGGTTACACGGGCTCACGTCCATGGGGTTACACGGGCTCACGTCCATGGGGTTACACGGGCTCACGTCCATGGGGTTACACGGGCTCACGTCCATGGGGTTACACGGGCTCACGTCCATGGGGTTACACGGGCTCACGTCCATGGGGTTACACGGGCTCACGTCCATGGGGTTACACGGGCTCACGTCCATGGGGTTACACGGGCTCACGTCCATGGGGTTACACGGGCTCACGTCCATGGGGTTACACGGGCTCACGTCCATGGGGTTACACGGGCTCACGTCCATGGGGTTACACGGGGCCATGTCCATGGGGGGTTACACAGGCTCATGTCCATGGGGTTACACGGGGCCACGTCCATGGGGCTATGTGGGCTCGCGACCATGGCAGTCACATGGGCTCGCGGCCATGGGGCTCACGCAGGTTCATGTCCATGGGGCTATGTGGGCTCGCGGCCATGGCAGTCACGTGGGGTTGCGTCCATGGGGGCAGGTGGGCTCACAGCCATGGGGTCACGCGGGGTCGTGGGCCCCGCCCCTCCAGCCCCCCTCTTGCTGGCAGGAAGATGACTACGAGAGCCCCGACGAGCCCGACGAGGAGGACGGGGACCAGGGCGACTACGAGTCCCCGACCGAGGGGGAGGAGGCGCCTGCGGATGAGGCGGACTACGAGCCCCCGCCCTCCCACGACGAGCAGGCCCTGCAGGGCGCCATCCTGCCCGCCCCGCCCCTGGCCAGCTCGGGCTCCATGTACATCGGTGAGCGCCTGGCTGTGCCCGGCCGAGCCCGGCCCTGCACGGTCCCCACCCTCCATCCTCCCCCCACCCTGCCCACCCCGCCCCTGGCCAGCTCGGGCTCCATGTACATCGGTGAGCGCCTGGCCGTGCCCGGCCCGGCCCGGCCTTGCATGGTCCCCACCCTCCATCCGCCCCCATCCTGCCCGCCCCGCCCCTGGCCAGCTCGGGCTCCATGTACATCAGTGAGCGCCTGGCTGTGCCCAGCCAGGCCCGGCCCTGCACCGGCCTCCTCCCTCTGCCATCCTCCCCCCATCCTCCCTCCCCCATGCTTCCCTCTGACCCCCTCCTCATCCTCCCCCCCCTCCCTCTGCCATCCTCCCCCCATCCTCCCCACCTTCTCCCTTCTCCCTCCCTCCCCCATGCTTCCCTCTGACCTCCTCCTCATCCTCCCCCCCTCGTCCCTCCCCCATCCTCCCCCCATCCTCCCCGCCTTCTCCCTCCCTCCCCCCTCCTCCCTCCCCCATGCTTCCTTCTGTCCTCCCCACCAGCCTCCCCCTCCGCTGGCCCCCACCCCCCTCCATGGTGGGTGCCACACCAGCCCCCTGGAGGAACATGACCGCCGTGGGGCTGGCGCTGGGGCTAGGCGGGAGCTGCTGGCCGCGGCTCTCCCTCCTCCTGGTCTTGTCCCAGCCAGCTCCTGCTTTAAGGAAGAGATGAGCAAAGCGGGGAGGTGGGCCAGGCGGGCAGGAGCACTGACTTGGTGGTGTGCTGGCCTGGACGGTTTTGTGTGTGTGGATGTGTGTGCACGCGTGCGTGTGTGCAAGTGTGTGCACGCGCATGTGTGCACGCGTGTGCACGCGTGTGCATGTGTGTACACATGCATGTGCGTGTGTGTGTGTGCACACACATGTGTGTACGTGTGTGCACATGTGTGCATTGTGCATGTGTGCATGTGTGTGCGCATGTGTGCACGCGCATGTGTGTGTATGTGCGCGTGCGCGTGTGCACATGCATGTGTGTGCGTGCGCGTGTGTGCACGCACGTGTGTGTACGTGTGTGTGCGTGTGTGTGTGTGCGTGTGTGCGTGTGCATGTGTGTGTGTGTGTGTAGGAGCACACACGGGTTCATTCCTTCCAGCCCTGTGTGAAAGCCCTCCCTGCTGTGGCTGAACTCCTGGCCTGGTCTCTGATAACGCCCTCCCGGAGACACAAGAGGCCCTGTGTGCTGTGCACACAGAGAGTGAGCAACTCGGTGTGAAGGAAGGGCAGGCCAAGCGTCCCCGCGGGGCTCACGAGGGCCGGGCGCGTTCCCGCATGGGTGGGGGCGGGGGGCTGGGGGTCCCCAGGCACCACAGAGTGGGGCACCTGTCTCCCGAGACCCGTGAAGTTGGCCAGCCGGTGCCGACGCTGGCGCCCTCGCCCAGTGATGTGTTTGTGTTTCTGCAGACCGCCCCCCCGCCGGGAAGGCCCCCCAGCAGCCCCCCGCACTGCCCCAGAGGTCGACAGCCGCCCCCCCTCCGCCTCCTGCCAGCCGGGGTCACATGGTAGGTGCCTCCCGCCCGCCCCGGCCACTTCTTCCACTGTAGGAAGAGAGCGTGGAGTATCGCTCCCCAATTCCAATTTGGCAAAACGCTGGGATCGTGCACCGGGCCCAGTCACCAGTACTTGGTGTGCATCGTGCCACTTCTTGGTATTTTCTTTGCACCACCAACAATACCAATGCAGAGCAAAAACAACCCCCTTTCCAGTATTCCTCGTGGTACCATCTTCTCCTACTTGAGATAGATGAAAACCGCAGAGCAAACTCTCGGAGAACCAAACGAAAGCTGGCACCTTGGAGCTACCGCCCTCTGGCAGAGAGCGTGGCACCACCTGCTGGCCAGTGCCAACGGCTGCCGCAGCCCTGGGCAGGCAGAGGGGAGGAGTGAGGGAGAGGCAGCAAAGCCGGAGCGGGGGGGGGGGGGGGGGGGGGGAAGGGGGGGGGAGCCCGGGCACAGCGCAGGGGACGGCTGCTCTCGCTTGTGCAGCTCTGGCTGAGGGAGGCTCCAAAGCTGAGTGTATCCACGAAGCCATCTGCTGACACACGGCCAGAGTCCACCAGTCCCTCAGCTGATGTCCACGGAGTGGCCCCCGTGTGCCAAGCGCTGTCGAGGGGCCAGAGGAGGGGCGTTTTTGGATTGAGGGATGGGGTGGGGTGATACTAAGTAAATGGACACAGCCGTGAGTTGACCAGTTATGCCTGTCTCGGGGAGCTGGGGGGCGGGGGGCAGGGGCGGGGGGCAGAGGACCAGGGCCATGGCGGGAGGTGGGGTTGGGCGGGAATAGAATGGGGACAGTCGTGGAGAGAGCAGAGACAGAGGGAGACCCAAGCACAGCCATGCCCCAGAGAGCAGGAGGTGTTCCAAGAAGGGCACGAGGCCCCAAGGTGGCCGTCGAGGGCCGGAGGGTGGGCAGCCCGGCTCAGGCAGGGCCGCGCGGGTCGTGGTGTTTTCTTCATGTGACCGGAGTCCTGGAGGGCTCAGCAGGGCGGTCCGGTGCTCAGCGCAGCCCTGCAGACAGAGCTGGAGAAGAGGCTGTGCCGCGGCCCCTGGGGGGCGGAGGTGCCGGTGGGATGCCAGCGTCCCGGCTCAGCTAACACCGCCCGGCCTGTGGAGGCCCCGCCATGCTCAAGAGCATTTGGTTCTGCCTTTCTCCAGCCCCTCCTCATGCCCCAGGCCAACCAGGAAGAACCTACCCGGGGGCAAAACCACAAGCCGACCAAACGTAAGCTCGGGGCTGCTCCTTCCCTGCCCAGCGGCCGCCTGCCGTCCCCAGCCAGCTGCTCTCTTCTTTGAAGTGACCCCCGCCCTCTTCCCTCCAGTGCCAGCCCCTTCCATAGACAGGAGCACGAAGCCACCCCTGGACCGCTCGCTGGCCCTGCCGGACAGGGAGGCCTTCATGCCAGGTACGACCTGGAAGGGGTGCAGAGTAATCCTAGGCCATGTTTATGACGTAAAGGTGACGTCTCTGTTCAACCCTTGAATGGCATCCTGGCCTGAGGCATTTTGGAAGAATAAACTCCTTTTTTTGGGGGGAAGAGGGGCTTGAACTCAGGGCCTGGGTGCTCTCCGTGAGCTCTTTTGCTCAAGGCTAGAGCTCTGCCACTTTGAGCCAGTGTCCCTTCTGGTTTTTGGGTGGTTAGTCAGAGATAAGAGTCTCAGGGGGACTTTTCTGTCCAGGTTGGCTTTGAACCGCGATCCTCAGCTCTCAGCTTCCTGAGTAGCTAGATGACAGGCGTGAGCCACCGGCGACCAGCTCAGCTAGGAATGAGCTCTGCTGGTGATGCTTGTTTTAACATGAGCCCCTGGCATGTGGAGGGCATGCAGGCAGAGGCGGGAGCAATCCGTCCAGGAGGCAGGAAGTTTCTGAGTGTCGGGGTCAGGGAGCAGAGGAAGCGCCCCAGTGCTCCCCGATGCGGTGAAAGCCACATCAGCGCAGACAGCTTAGCCGTGCAGAGTTCTCGGCTGCACCTGGATGGCACAGAGCCTGCGTCACCCGTGCTTGGAGAAGAGTAGCGCACACGCACAGGCCCGGCGCACCAGCGCCCATCAAGCCCGGCGCACAGCCCACCGCCGTTAGCCCCAGGTTCAAAGGTCGCTCAGAAACGGAGTCTCCCCCGCCCTGTAGCACAAGGCTTGCCTCTGGTATGGAGAGGGGCTGCAGTTATGGCCAGTTAGAGACGGACATTCCCAGGGGTGTTGGTCCTCTGAATGCCTTTGAGCGATGGACGGGACCTGGCCGAGCTCCTCGGTGCTTCCACCCCGGAGGGCCAGGCTCGGGGTCCTCCAGGCCTAGGCTCAGACCCGCTGTCTGTCCTCACAGGGAAGAAGCCAGCATTTGCTGACAAGGTGAGCCGGCTTGCGGGCCTGCGTGGGGGTGGTCTGGGGTGTTTGTCTTGCGTCTTGTCCTTCCCTCACCAGTCCCCCACCTTGCTGTCTTGCAGCCCGTGGCCCTGGCAGGAGGAAGGTAGGTGGTGGTGGTGTGTGTGTGTGTGTGTGTGTGTGTGTGTGTGTGTGTGTAACAGAGGGCAGCGGCACTTTCTCTAGAACTCTTCTCCACAGCTCAGTTCATGCTCACACATCTTGTCTCTACCCTCAGGGTGCCCGGGGAGCATCTGCCCAAGATTCAGAAGGTGCCGGAGCGAGCCGTGCCCCTGGCCGGGAAGAAGCCGCCAGTGCCCAAGTACCTGTCTCTTGTTCTTAGCTTGCCACTCCATCGCTGGGCATGCCGGCCCCGCCCCGGCCTGGCCCTGCATGGGCAGAGGGTCTCTGTGGCTGTGCTTATGGAATGTCCCCGCATCGCAGATTAACTGGGAAGTGCCAGGGTCTCTGAGGAAAGTGGGAGCCTAGCAGGGGTGAGGGGAGGGGGTTCATCTTCATCTGGAAGGGAAGGAGAGGAGAAGAAGGGAGGGGATGAAAGGAGAGGAGAAGGGGAGGAAGGAGAGAGGGAAGAAGGAGGGAGTGAGAGGGGAAGAAGGGAAGGAAGGAGAGAGGGTAGAAGGTTGGATTCTGGGACTTCTGGAAGAAGTTGTTGGACTTTTCCTGCATTGCCAGAGCAAAGTCCCAAGGTGCATTCAATGCAAAGAGCAGACAGGGCAGGGGAGGAAGTTTGAGGTCAGCACCAGGGCCGCACTTAACGAACCACACACCCACTGTCCGTAACTGCAGGCCGCTGCGATCGGCTCCAGTGTCTGTAACTTTGCCAGAAAGTAAAGCAGGCAGGACCACCGCCCTGGGCGCCGGGCAGACTCGCCAGCCGGGAGGGAGACTGCCAGGGATGGTGACCCTGCTTGGTTGGGATGGGGCTCAGAGGAAGACCAGAGCGAGGGAGCGGAGAGAGCCCCAGCCACGGAGCGCAAGGGCATCCCAGTGCAAAACCATCCAGCGATGCTCAGCCCACACCTTCCGTGCTGGACGAAGCTAGAAGGGGCTCAGCCAACTCTCCTCCTCCCCTCCAATCGCAGGGAGCCGCCGGGGCAGCGCGGAGGCCCTCAGGCCTCTCCCGGGAGTGACCTTCTCCCTTTGCCTTCTCTCGCACAAAGATGGGGCCACCAGACTGGTCCAAAACACCCACAGCGAGTATTGCCGCAAAGCTCCACTTGCGTGCAGAAACATCTCCTCCATTAAGGTTAACAGCGACTAAAGGGGACAGTGGCCACAGGCGAGGGTTTGTGGAGCTCCGCGTGCAGAGAGGGCAGAGCACGCGGGTGGCCATGCCCCCCCCCCGTTCCTCCATTCTCAGCCTTCTCTCTGGACTTGACTTCTCTGGGTGCAGTTTGGTGGACAGTACATTCTCAGGCCAGCTCCTGACACACGCTTCTTTTTCTCTGCTCCAATTTATTCCAGGCACGGATGGGTACCGGAGAGAAGAGAGAATGTAAGTAGGAAATGTCGTGTTGGAAACGCCTGGCACGGGGGAAGCCAGGGCCGGGGTCTGTGGAGATGAGGACGGTGTCTGTCGTGGTCTCCCTGAGGGTCCATCTCCTGGAGCAAGACTCCTGGGGATTGAACCCAGGGCCTGGTGCTTGCTGGGCAAGTGCTGGCGGGACTGGAGCCATGCCCCTAGTCCACAGTGGGTCCTTGAATCCAGGTGCCTCGTGTTGGGGGTCTCAGTGCTCCCTGGACCCCACCACGTGTTCTGGCTAACTCCTGTTCCTCAGAGAGCCCCCAGGTGGCTGAGCCATTACTCCAAAGGAGTGACTAGCAAGGTGGAGGGAGAGGTTGGGGGGGTGGGAGGGTGGGGGGTGCCCTGGGGCCGGGCCTCACCCAAGTGGGCCAGGCCTCTGCATCTACTCTGCACCCAAGGAAGGGGCGTAGCGTTAATGGATTTGGGATGGAACATTCCACATCCCAGAAACCACACGGGCTCCAGGAGGGGCAGGGCTTGAGCCTCTCTTGTCCTGTGCTTCGCATAAAGAATCATCTTTTCCCTTTCAATGGGAGGGAAACTGAGGCTCAGAAAGGTAAGATACTCTAAGTGTCCCAGGTACTAAAAAGCAATCTGAGTCTGAATCCAGGCCTGAGTTCTCCCACATGGTGCGATGTGTCGGCCGGATTCCACGGCTGTGGGGCTGTGGGGCCTGACGGAGGCCCGAGGCCCAGGGATGCAAAACCTGCCTTAAGCAGCACTTAGGGTTGCCAGGCGCGAGAGTCAGAACACGCAGAGGAAGGTCTTGCTGCGCCCCTGCCCGGACGGCCGCACAGACAACCCCCGGTTGGCCCTTTTGGTCTTCTGGCCAAAGGCCAACGTGCTTCTGGGCCTCACTTCTTACCTGAGGAGATAAAGAAACAGTCAGTAGGGTGGCCGTGAAAGGAAATCCACGTGGCTGTAGGCCACGTGCACTATAAATAAATGAGAGCTTGCTGCTTTTAAGAGGAGTGGATCTGGCCGGAGAGCCGGACGGAAGGCCGGAGGCCGGGCTTCCCGGGAGGGCTGCAGCCCTGCCTGCAGACGCTGGCAGGGCAGAGCCCTTCCCCCCAGCAGGCCTCCACCTGTAAAGCAAGGGCACTACATTGCTAAGGGCTTGCGGGAGCAGAGTGAAATACCGTGTGTGAATCTATGGGGGAAGGTTATACACACTGTAAATATTATGATCACTTTGAGGATCTCAGATGGGAGCATCCTCAGGTTATTGTTTCTATTAGAAAATCATAAACCACTCATCAAGCGCTGAGATGCTTGTGATATACTTATTGTGGTGCACCATAGCTGGGAACAAAGAGCCAGCCTTGTTTCTGTGATTGAGAAATGTGTTGACCCTTCCAGGAACTGTGTTTGGACAACAAGCTAACATCTTCTTCTCCCTCCCTCTCTCTCTCTTCTTCCTCTTACCAGGATGAAGATGACGGTAGGTTTACAAAATCTTTCTTACAACTTCTGTCTCATCTGTTAGGCATGTAAATGGAGTCCTTTAGCTGGGAGGTTACAGGACCAGCTAGAGCCATTATGCTCACAGACGCACACCTGCGTCTGTTCTGTCACTGCATGCTGAAATAAAGTGGGATTCTGTGGTTGCTTTAACAGAGAGAATTGTTAGTCATTAGAACAGTGCAGATTTGGGTGGCAACGTTCAAATGCCATGCAGAGTTTGATGGAGCTGTTTTGCAGTATGCATGGCCTCTAAGGCGACGCGGAATAGACTGACAGTGGGGCGAATGAGCCAGCTTGGGGATTTGCCTTTCATGGAGCAAACAGCCTGCCAGCAGCCCTGAAGGCTCCCCGGATCCTGGATTCTGACCATCTCCCCAATCTTTGTCTTCTCCCCTCCCAGTGCATAAGAGACCTCTGCCTCAGCCGGCGCCACTCCCACTGAGTTCCAGCACTTTCCACTCAAGGTCCGCCAAGCCAAGTCCCAAGCCCCCCCTCCCTGCGTCCCACAGCCCCGGACCCTTCAACGAAAGGTGTGTGGCTGTCTCCGGAAGCCATGTGAACTTGGTTAAAGTTACTCTTACACGTCGGCTGCAGTTTGAGGGTTCTGAGTTTGGAAACTGGCAGAAGTCCTCTGGGGGGTGGATTTCTCTTTTGTCGAACAGGACTGGGCGTGCTGCTGCTGCACAGTGACACCCAGGCCCCGACTGTCTGCGTACCACAGGGCAGGGTGCACAAGGGGAAAGAGAGAGAGGCCAGGAGGGGCAGGCAGCTGCGGGAGGACCTCATCTCAGATGGAGGCCAGCCCTGTGCAAAGCTGGCAAGATCCTAACTTCAGGACACAACAGAAATGAACCCGCGGGGCAGGCTCACGGGGGGAGTGCAGGCACGCTAGCGTGTGTGGGAAGGAGGGAGGGAAGAGGAGAAGAGGGGAGAGAATGAGAAGAAGGGAGGGAACACGGAGGGAAGTTGCTCCCTGTCCCCCCCCCCCCGCTAGCCCAGAGCACCCACCCATCGGCCCAAACTGGGCGGCATTTTTCAAGCATAACCGACGGGTTGGGGCCCCGGGAGGAAACAGCAGACGGGAGATGGTGGCGGGCCCCTCCCTCTTGGAGGCAGCCGAGCGCTGGGGTTCCGGCCCCAGCCCAACCTAACATCCCGCCCTCCCGCCCACAGCAGCAGCTTCCCGCACAGCGCCTCCCTGCCGTCATACCTCTCCCAAGGTGGGTACCTGGTCCTCCGGGGCTTGCGCTAGCCGCTGCTTCTGCACGCCCGGCCGGGGATGGGTGTGACCTCTGTGGCCGTGGTGTTCTAGGACCTTCTGTGCAGAGCAGATGAAAACCCAGAGGCCACGTCACCAGAGGGTGGAAAGTAAAGCACACCGAGTACGTTACTTGAGACTCGAATGAGAGAGCGAGGGAGCGAATGGAGGCTGGGGAATGAGCGGAACATTCTCGCTAAGGGAATCCTTCAGTGGTATACAGCTGTTCTCACACAGAAACCCACACGCCACCTGACGTCAACATGATGGAACCTTCCCCCAGAGGAGGAAACGCCCTCCCGGGAGGTTCTGGGGACGGGGCAAAGAGGGCCTTAAAGAAAGTGGGGTGCACGCGCTCCCCGCACTGCCCTCCCCTCCCCCGCCTCTGTTAGAGGAACGCATGGGAAACCCAGCAGACACAGCGGGGGGCCGGCGCGGTTTGGAACTGTGCCGGTCGGTCGGGCTTCCCTGTCTTTTCATGAAGACGAGGAAAACGTAACGATCACCACCAGGCACCGCCTCACAGCAGAGAATGCAACAGGATGTCTGTGAAAGACCATCTAGAATGTTCTCAGTGACAGGACATTAAAGCAACTGCCACATGCTCTCAGGTGGATGTCCTCAGCTTCCAGTACATACAAGCACACCTAGGATATTTACAATGTACGGCAGGCCCCGCTAGGACATCATACACGCGAGGCTCTGTTCTGGAAGCTTCGTGGACATGATTGCACAATAGCTCCTGAGCGGCCTTTGGGTTTGGGAACAGGGGAAATGATTTTCAAAGCCCTGTTTTCCTGAAATGTTAATTATGGAAACAGCTAGAAGGGCATAGGAGGGGTGGGGAGGGGTGTTATGAGAAAAGTAAACTCGAACTCCCAGTACATTAATTAATGCGGTGCACTAATTAAAGCAGTGCATGACTTTCTGCCATGTGCTCCTTAAGGGCTTAGCAACAGACCCCCTCCCCGAGCGGAGGGGAGGAACTTCTCCTTGCCGGTTCCCAGCAAGCCGCAGCCACTGTCCCCTGGAGCAGAGGTGAGGAGCCACACGGCTTTTACCGTCCCTTGGTTTGGAAAGAGCGAGGCGGTGGCTGAGCTCAGGGTGGGGTCTGGCCTGGCGGGAGTGAGGCTTGGGTCAGGTCCCAGCCCCGCAGACAGACCAACAACAGAGGAGCCAGACCAAAGAAAAGAAGTTCTTTTCCTCACGTGCTCACCCAGACTCCCAGGGGCAAGTGTGTGCTCTGAGGAAAGCAATGAGAAAAGAATCCCGTTTTTTCATCTGCTTCCTAGTCTCTGACCTTAGCCAAGTCTCTGAATTGCTCAATGAGCTGACTGGATGTTTTGTGTGTGGATGGGGTGCACAGGTGGAGGAAGTTCCCGTCCCCGGGGTCTCCCGGCCTTGTTCCCGGCCACCTGGGTCAGCAGACTCTGCGGTGCTTTCAGACACTCCTGTTTGCCCTGGTGACTTTTGTTTTGGTGGTCGTGGGGCTTGAACTCAGGACCTGGGCACTGTCCCTGAGTCCTTTTGTGCCCAAGGCTAGCGCTCTACCACGTTGAATCATAGCACCGCTTCTGGTTTTCTGGTGGTTAATTTCATGGGCTTTCCTGCCCCCGCTGGCTTCACACCGTGATCCTCAGACTCAGGTCTCGGCCTCCTGAGTAGTTAGGATTACAGGTGTGAGCCACCTGCTTCATTCCAGTGACTCTTTATTCAAGTTTAAGAGCACACATGTGTCAAGCCTCATGGGGCTGTGGTGAACACTGGTGGAAACGACCTCTCGGGGGCTCTCGTTTCTCTTAACCCGGGAAGGGCTGAAGTTCTTCATTCTAGAACTTTCCACTTGCAGAATTCCTTAGAGGAAGAGTGGTACGTTTCTTATATCACCCGGCCAGAGGCAGAGGCTGCGCTTAGGAAGATAAACCAGGTATGTGTGGCAGCTTGCTTTTGATGTTCTGCATGTCCTTGGCGATGGAGGGGGTGTCTGACTGGCTCCGTTAATGTGGCGTGAGAGGAATAAAGGCAGGCCGTCATCGGTCAGTACACGTGGAGGGCGTGATCTAACCGGTACGGTGCATTCTCACGCCACAGTGACCTACTGAAGGGAAATGAAAAGCACAGGACGGGTCGTGGCACCAGTTTTGTGTCAGGAGAGGGGGCAGGACTTGTCTGCTTTTAGGTTTGCTGATGTGTGATCTGCATGATGTGCTGAGTGCAGACACCAGAGCGTTGGAGGGGTGCAAACGGGGTGCATTTGTAGGTAGATGGGCGTCTTCTAACAGTGGGGGTGGAAAGGAAGGGCTGGGGAATCAACTCACCAGAGTGAGAAAGTGTTCCTTCACCATGGAAGTCATTACTCCTCCCGGCCCTTTACCCACTCAACCACTGGTTACTGTTTTATTAATGCAGAGAAAAGGATGCTTTATTTTTATCAAGAGCCTTGGAGGAGGCCGACTGGGAACTCCCTTTGATCAGATCGCTGCCGCCTTTCTTGATAACGATGCGTGCAGAGGTCCTGGGGCTGTCACTCTCAGGGCTGGCGTTAGCTGACCCAGTGGCAGGGTGTGCAGGTTCCCGGGGCTGTAGGCCAGAGTGTTGACTTTCTCCACCGCTTCCTCCATGACACACATTTATTCTTTTAGGACGGCACTTTTCTGGTTAGAGACAGCTCTAGAAAAACAGCCACCAACCCGTACGTGCTCATGGTGCTTTACAAAGACAAGGTGTACAATATCCAGATCCGCTACCAGGAGGACAGTCGGGCGTACTTGCTGGGAACTGGCCTCCGAGGGAAAGAGGTGAGGACTCCCAGCTCACATGCCCTGACTTCCCTCTCCTGTCTCCCACGCATCCACACGGCCCACTCCACAGCCTCTGGAGGTTCATGCAGTGTGTATACAACTTCAGAGTCAAGCCCCACGGGTGAAACCCTGTGTTGGTTTGCTTCGGGGAAGTAAAACCAAAAGAGGGACAGTGACTGGTTCTGCCACAAGATCCTCCCGCCTTCCCGCCCTCCCTCCCGCCCTCTCTCCCTCCACCCTCCCTCCTCCCTCCCGTCCTCCCTCCTGCCCTCCCCCCCCCACGTTTATCTTCCTAAGCACAGCCTCTTCCCTCTTTTAATCCAGGTCTCATATTCCAAACAATCAAACATGACATACGTAAGCATGACTGGTGGGTAGCGGGGGGTCCCAGGTGTTCTTCCAGAAGTTTCTTGGTTCTGTGGATACAAGGCCTAAGCCTAGGACACAGCCCCCAGTACAGGGAAACAAGGGAGCGTAGGAAGGGAGCAGGACGCGGCTCACCAGCAAAGCTAATGTGCACGACTTGGCAGTGGGAGGCAGGAAGTCCAGGCCGGGCCCACTGCGGGCCTCGAGTGCTGCCGTCCACACTCGGGTGGCACAGGGCACAGGCCGACCCCACGCCGTGTGAGCGCTGTGGACGGCGGGGCGTGGGGACTCCGTCCCAGACTTTAGAAAAGACAGTGATGCTGGCGCCGGCGGAGTCTTCCCTGGCCCTCCGGTGTGGCGCAGTCAGGGAAGGTCATGTCGCACCATGGTGACCTCAAGGCCCAGGTGTGACCCTTGACTTTGATTTGAGGAGGGGCTTCCTGGGTAGGACTTGGGGCCACTGTCTAATCCAGGAAGCTGCCATGCAGGGTTTAGAATGGAGTCTAGTATCGCCAGTATTTCCTCATTCCTGCTCTTACACCTAGAAGCCTAGCTACTCAGGAGGCCGAGATCTGGAGCATCACCGTTCAGAGCCAGCCCCAACAAAATGCCTGCAATACGCCGTCCCAAAGAGCTAGCTAAAAGCAAGGCCAGAGGCCTGGCTCAAATGGTCGAGTGCCAGAGAAGCGAGCTAAGCAAGTGCCAGGCTATGATTTAAAACACTAGTATGAAAAAAAATAGCATTAAAAGCGTCCAGTTAGATGTTGTCAAACACCAGTCTCTCCTATTTCTGAACTCATTGCTATAGTTCCAATGCACTTAGAAGGCATATTTAAAACACCATCTGAGGAAGCTGGAGAACTAGAACTCTTGGCTGTGGTGATCACTAAAATACTCGGGTCATTTCCTATGAAACCCGGAGGTTTGGCTCAGCAAAGACGGCCAAGTTGTAGAAGAAATTCCTGTCTGGCTAAGGCTTATATTCTCATCCTATCAAGTTATGGGATGGTAGTCAGCATTCATGTGGAAAACCCCTCAGCACCGTCTTTCCCTGGGGAGAGTGACAACTCGGCCCTGTCCCCACTGTGCTGTTTGGGGGGGGGAGGTCGCCTCCAGGATAAGGAACAAGTCACACGTATCCACAGTCCAAATACCTCCGCAGAGGGCTGGTGAGCAGAGCACGCGCACGATTCTCACTGCGGCCCGAGCGGCAGGCTCTGGTGTAATACACGTCTTGGTACGTGCTTGGTACATGGAGGTGGCCAAGGAGACCCAGGAGAGCTCTTGGGAAACAACCGCCATGCTGTATAGCACTTCCTGGCAGGGTGAGCAATGGCTGACGCCCTGGTTCTTGCTCCTCTCAACTCTACTCCCGGCTGCAGAGAAGAAGGGACACAAAATGGAAGCCCAGGCAGAAACAAACAGAAGCCTGAGGCGAGGGCATGGCATCAGCACTGTTAGCCTTTATCTGAGGTTGAAGTGTCTTCTCTCTGTGATTTGTTGGGAATTTCTGTAGCACCGATCACTGAAGACGTTTGCCGGACTGGACATACTTTGCCCCCCACCCCGGTGTTTGTAGCCTGGATAGGGGGTGTCAACCGATGGGAAAAGCAGGCCTACAGAGGCCTTTGCTCGGGGCTGGTGCCAACCTTCGCCTCCCTATTCTCACTCCTGCAGGACTTCCTCTCTGTGTCACACATCATCGATTACTTCCGGAAGATGCCGCTCCTGCTCATCGATGGCAAGAACCGAGGCTCCAGATACCAGTGCACACTGACACACGCTGCGGGGTACCGCTAGCCAGCCAGCCCTGCAGACAAGCTTTCCTCTCGCCTCGTGATTGGACGAACACTTGGGACTGAAATGACCCTCAACACATGAACGCAAGAGGCTTCTTGTTTTCCATTTCCATAAAATGTTTGAAGACTGCCAAATATCTTATAATTTATTTTTAGTGGTTATACAGTGCAAGAAAGGGTGAACACACCGCAGTCTGATAGAGCATGGTGCATAGTACTGCCTGACAGTACTTCAAAAAACACGGGGTATAGTATTTTAAAAGGTATTTTTGCATACCACTTTCAAAATACAGTTTAACATAGCTGCAGACATAGTTTGGGGTCTTTAAATGCTGTGACAGTAGTTTTTTGTATCACGTAAAGCTGGTTTTTAAATTTTGTTTTAAATAGGCAAACCTGTGTCATTCATAGGTGATTTTTTTTTTTGTCAGTTGTGGGGCTTGAACTCAGGGCCTGGGTACTGTCCATGAGCTTTTTTCACTCAATGATAGTGCTCTACACTTTAAGCTACTTACGGTTTTTTTGGTGGCTAATTGGAGAGAAGAGTCTCATGGGGACTTTTGTGCCTGGGCTGGCTTTGAACCAAGACCCTCAGATATCAGGCTTCTGAGTAGTTAAGATTTTAAGGGTGAACCACTGGCACCGGTTCACAGGTGAATCATTCTGTTAATTACAACTTAAAAATTACTAAAACATTTTCTCAGCAGCAGTCATTTAAGAGGCTTCTTTCTTATTTAATCTGTTTTGCTAGAGAAGTTTTCGTGTACTTTTTATGACAAGATAAATGCATATTGGGATAGCTTCCTAGTGTTTTTGGTTTATTTAGTCCATACTATTTTTTGTTTTAAAGCAAAGCCACCAATACTGAGAAGCCTTGTAAACTGAGGGGCCGCTTTGGGGTCACCTCTCTGGTTTGAGGGCGCTCTCCCCCTGCCCCCCACAGCTCCACTGTGGCACACGCCCAGAGGTGGGGCCCTGGAAGGCCAAGGGCAGTGCTCCTACTTACACGGCCATCACTTTCCTGTTATGTACTGCTGTGTCGAGTCCACCGTCTGTGGCCCTGGTGCTTGGTGGCACAGTACTTCATGAGAGGAGCATAGCAGAGGACTGCTTGCCTTATTAAGGTAGCTGAGCAGCACAGAGATCGGAGGTGTCCTCCCTCACCTCCCAGGGACATGCTCCTCACCTAACTTTGAACCCTGAGCCTACTCTGATGGTACCATGATCTCCCAACAGTACCTTGTTTGGAACCACACCTTTACATGTGGGTCTGATGGGGATACTGCTTCCCTATTTTTCAAATCCCCAACTCTGCCATAGGCCCGTTCTGTTCATCCTTCTCAAACTGGCATTATTTGGAAGGCTCATAGTGTCTTATTTCCATTCCTCCTTCTGGCTGGGCCCCACCTCTCTTAACCGAAGGCTTCGGACCGCCGCTGCACCAGTCCATGTGGCACAGTCAGGGGCCCTCTGTGAAACGTTGAACATGGGTGGAGACACAGGATGTCTCGTTCTGGAGGCCTCTAAAGGCAATGTAACCTGGAGCTGGGTGCTGCCTCCCATCTAGCCCCAGGTGGAGGAAACAGGTCTGTGAGGGCAGACCTCAGACACCCAGTAGACAGTGGATGGGCTTTTGGAAACCCTGAAATCTAAGTCACATGACCAAGTGTTTTAGAGCTGGTAGTATTTGGTGTTTGGTACCTGCTAACTGAAGTTCTGGTAAAAAGGCAACAAAGGTTCCATGGCAAACTTCCCGTGTCCTGCACACTTGTACCAACAGGGAAGTAAATCAGCCACCGTGTAGTAACACCTTAAATTACTATGAAACAGCCTTCAGAAATATGAAACGTTTATTCAGAACTCTTTTAATGATAGAATCATTCAGCTATTTAGCTCAGTAACAAAGTCAGCGCAATAAAACGGTGATGGGAAACGTCAGACGGAGTTGTTGGGTTCCTCTGGTTCCTTCATGTGCTTTGTCTTCAAAGGCTGCTCCAGCTGCACAGTCAGGTCACAAAGCAGTAACTGAGCATGCTCTGAGAAAACAGAAAGAGGTACTCTAGTGCCCTGTAGTCTCTCTTTAAATGGCTGTTTCTAAGTTTGTTTCCAGATGACCACTGATCAAATCGCAACTTACGTGGACCCCATTGTGACCTACTCTTCAAAGCTGGGTCTTATGTAACACACAACATGCCCCTTCCTGCAAGCTACTCCACTCAGTTAGTACTTGTATTATTTTTTAGGAGTGAGCATTTCTATAGTGGGAGTGAGTTGTCCCTCTGGACTGACAGCTCTTAGGGACTGTTAGCAAGCCACCCTCTCATCACCCTGGTAACGGCAGTGCCTGGACTATGGAGAAGAGGGCTTGAGGGCTTGTACGGGTGCTCTTACTCCACAGTTCCTACGCGTTTCTCTTTTGGTCTGCTGCCTTGTTTGGTGGGATATAGCCTTAGTTTGTCCCAGGTAGGGGATTTATTTATCTAAAAGCTTCTATCTGCTAATGCTCAATTTGAAGGTTCACTAGCCTTAACACTCAGGCTGGAAATCCCATTTCCTCAGACTTCCAAAGGCGTGGCTGCAGAACCTTCCAGCATTTAGTATTCCTACTGAGAGGTCTCATGGGATATGAAGTAATTTTCCATCCCCATTTTCTCTCCAGAATCTTGACTGTCCTTTTTATTCCGCTAAGCCTGGACATTAGTATTTAGGGAGGATGTAGGGATTTGGGGAGTGTTTGCTTAATCCTCCATATTTACCAGTTTTCCTTCTAGACTTGTTCTACAAATCCCTGATATTCTAACTTCCTGAGGGACCCACACAACTCTTCAGGAGTATATCTACCACATTTATTATGATTTTACTTCATGACATACTTGCCAAACTACAACAATTCGACAATCAAAACTGGATCTAATGCTTCTCTACTTAAAACCAATTCAAACATCCAGACAACTGAGTTTGATAAACATTTTCCAAGAACCTTTTATAGGAAGACACTGTGCCAAGTGCTGGGAATATCTTTAAGGAAGGTTCCATTGAGCAGGGACAGAAAAGCTGTAAACATATAATTATAGCACAGTGTGCTAAGAGATAATGTCTATGGGCAGAAGGGAAAACATTCCAAGCTCAAAATGTTCCCAGTGGAAGTGACCCAGTCAACTAGTAAGGCATTGTTAACCTGGTAGGGATTACAGCGGTGGGATTTCAGAACATGTATGTAAGGTTCAGACACACAAAACAGCATTGTGAGCACACAAAGCACTCTGTGTGTGTGAGCACAGCGCACTCTAGGGGAGCTGGACTTAGTCTAGAGACAATGGTGGACTAACGAAGGTTCTCAGAGGTTTACATTTTAGAAAGAAAATCTTCATTCCGGTACAGCACCTCATCCTGAGGGGTCCACACTGGTGCTGGCAGTTCTCTTGATTGTGTCTGCTGGGAGTTTCCTCCCATGAAACATATCTGGCCAGGGAAAGGGAGGGGGAAAGTGCCAAAGCCTGGGAAAGGCTGGTGTAAGGAGACCAGGCAGGGGCACTGTATGGCCCCTGGAGGCAATGACTGGAGCCACGAGGCTGTGAACCTGGGCTGGGACCTGCTGCTCCTGACTGCATAAGGAGTATGTGGTAAGGTTGTTATTTGGTTACTGCCAGGTGAAGGTCTCCACATCGAGGCTAGCTACGATAACCACACGGTGTTCTTAGAGTAACTAGACACTTAGGGTCGTTTTCACAGTCAGAAAGAGGGCCTGGAGATGCCACAGACGTGACCTGGGGGCTGGTCCATACGGGGCCCAACACAACAGGGGAGACCGAGGCTTCTGGCAAACCAGGGAGCTCCCCAACACTTCCGTGTTTGGTCAGGGATGGATCGGCTCTGGAGTATTTAAGAATGTTGCATGTTTAACAATGCATATGTGAGTGGAGCGACCAAGTGCCATGGCCGACAAGGCCTACTATTGCTCCGTGAATGTTTAAAACGCACATGCTGACATAATTCTGGTTCTTCCTTCAAAGTGAGCTTTGGGGGCTCAGGAAGGGTTCATGGATAAAGACACTGGATGTCACAGTTTTGTTCCATGTAAATTACATGGCTTAGGTGGCCTGGTGGGAGCCTGCTAGCCTTGGAGTAGGATCAGGTCTGCTAACTCTTAGGCCATCTTTATATGCCCGTTCCTCGGCACTGCAACTTGGCGTAATACAGCGGTCCTAACCAGTGGGGGACCATGCAGCGGAAGCAGGTGCGAGTGCCATCATCGATTCTGCAGCCGACAGGCCGGCGTTTGAGGGACTCCAGGCTCACCTTTCATCCGCCTCACCTCCTTAGAGATGGTCTTGAGGTTTTTAATGATGGTCTCCACCTTCTGCTTATGGTCCACAGCCTCATGACGGCGCTCGTTCTTAAAGAAACACAGGGCACACGTCAAAAGCATTCGTTAGACACACCACCCGGGATGTCGGCCCTGGAGTCACTGTGTGCTGCTCAGCACCGCCCTGCTCAGTACTGCCTGCTCAGTACCGCCTGCTGCTCAGTAACACGCTGCTCAGTACCGCACTGCTCAGTACCCCGCACTGCTCAGCACCGCGCTGCTCAGTACCGCCCGCTGCTCAGTACCGCGCGCTGCTCAGTACCGCCCTGCTCAGCACCGCCCTGCTCAGCACCGCCCTGCTCAGTACCGCGCGCTGCTCAGCACCGCCATGCTCAGCACAGCGCAGCGCGCTGCTCAGCACCGCGCTGCTCAGTACCGCGCTGCTCAGCACCGCGCTGCTCAGCACCGCGCTGCTCAGTACCCCGCGCTGCTCAGTACCGCCCTGCTCAGTACCGCGCGCTGCTCAGTACCGCATGCTGCTCAGCACCGCGCTGCTCAGTACCGCGCGCTGCTCAGCACCGCGCTGCTCAGCACCGCCCTGCTCAGCACCGCGCTGCTCAGTACCACCCGCTGCTCAGTACCGCGCTGCTCAGCACCGCGCTGCTCAGTACCGCGCTGCTCAGTACCACGCTGCTCAGCACCGCGCTGCTCAGTACCACCCGCTGCTCAGTACCGCGCTGCTCAGCACCACCTGCTGCTCAGTACCGCGCTGCTCAGCACCGCGCTGCTCAGTACCACCCGCTGCTCAGTACCACCCGCTGCTCAGCAC